GAAAATTGTTTCCTATTTTGAAAATGTTATACAATCCTCAGGGATTTATAATTGAAATGCGTATTCAAAATGGGAATAACAACATGAAAACGGGAATAAAAGCGAAGGATAATGATATTCACCTTTCATTTTCGCTTATAAAAATAAATTTAGATATATATATATTTTAAATATCTATAAATTAATAAACATTTCTAATTTCCAAATAGAATAAATTCTTTAAAATCCTTATTTACGCCAAAATGATACAGAATGGAATGGTAAGTAACTACTCCTTAAGATGAAGTATACTTATAAAAAATCATGTCTCGGAAAGAAATTTTTTGGTAAGATAAGAAAAAATCAAGTTTAGGAGGAAAAAAATCGTGAAATCTTAGACGTTTTTTATATATTAAAAAACAAAAAAATTGAAATAAAGTGTTTCTTAATACTCTAGAATAATCTTCAGAAGAGCAAGTCTGTAATCAAACTGAAGAAAAATAGAATAAAAAAATAACTGTACAAATATTAATAAGTAATTTAAAGAGAACTTTTTTGTATTGACATTGAATAATTATACTGTCAGAATGTTAAGAAACACTAAAAGAAACAGATACGAGCACTTCTCATGTCGTAACAACAGAAATTTAAAGTAACTTCGTTCTCTCCAATTAGTGTCGATCTAACTTATCCAAATAAAGCTATCATAAAAGATTACTTTAATCAAAGCTGCTGAAAGGTTTCGATCACGTCCCAAGAATATCGACCACATAAACATCTGCCACAATCTACCCACTCGTAAATTTAAGCTTAGAGGGGGTCCGTTATCATCAGAGCAGTTTCTTAAAGCAAACGAGCCGTCGTGGCACAATCGTGACGGATTTACAGAAGGCCTTTCTATTTCTATTCCAACCCTCTAGTAATTTGCGAGTTTAATTATCCACTCGGTGCAAAGCGTAGGTATACACAGAAGCTAATATTTAGACCCACTATGAAGTGACTACCCGATTTCAGTTTTGGGGAATGATGGAGCGAGAAACGGTTTAGAAGGGGGACCCCGTCTTTGTAAAGGCTGTTTAGTAGTGGGGGAGAGGAATGACGTTTCTAGCTGATAAGTCTAGACTGCCTTCGTTTATCAGGAATGCTTTCAGGATTTAAAAAAATAAATGAAGTGAATTCTGACAGTAATCCGAATTTTCTGCTCTTTCGTCTGTCAGTTTGATTTTGTTTTATGAAATTAATAAAGATTACTTTCCAAAATTTTCTTAATTCTCGTCTTGGGAGGTTGCTTTTTTCCCTCTCCCCTCTCCTCCCTCGTGATGCGCGATCCCGCTGCACAAAGGAACAGAAGTTTTTGACAGAAATATCTTTTTTGCTAGCAAACAGGAGTGGTTGAGCGGAAATGACTTCTATTGTGTACTTCCTCTAACTGTCTTCGTCGCTTCGTTAATTAGCAGTAATTAGCATAATTAACTTTTCGGTTTACAGCTAGAGCGGGCAAAATCATCGATTCTTTCCTCGCTAAAGACTTCAAAAAATCCGCTGCCAAATTTTTTGAATCAATCAGGAAAAAATTTACCTAATTCTAAAAGTTTGCGAATAATTGAATATTGTGTTTTGTTGTAGCTGTCGTAGTGGCACGTTGCCGTTATGGTAGAAAGCGTTCTTCAATCGATGATATATCGTAGGATGCTAAACATATTTTCGAATGATCCCGTCATAACTCGAATTTTTCAACGTTTATAGCGCTATTAGTGTGTGTTTTTCCTTCAGCATCTTTACGGGATGTAGCTACCAAACGAAAGAATTACGAAACTACCACTTTCGGCTCCGGTAGCACGAAGAGAAGACGGAGCGCACTGTCGAGCTATTTGCCCTTAGAGAAAGAAATGTCCGTTTCTTGGCAAATTATTTTGTCATGGAGGAGAGATATCTCCTCTTCAAAGCGTGACTAATGTGGCAGCGAGAATGAGAGCGATATAAACTGAAGCGGGTCCCCTCACACCTGGCGATAAACGACTATGGAGAAGCAAATGGTGCGTGATTCCCACGTGGTTTAGCTGTCATCAACGCCTCCTCCACTACCGCACTTCTACACAGGTTGTGGTGCATCTAAAATGTTTTAATCGCTAATTTATTAATACATTCTCTTTGTAACGGTGGTGTATCGGGCTTATAAATTGACAGTGAGTCTGTTTATCTACTATCAATAGAATAGATACACTTGCAAAGTGTGTTACCTCAGCAACTTGACCAAAATTAGTATTCCAGTTAATAAATCAATTTAAAATAAAATGAAGTTAATTTTATTAAAGATAAACTCTATCCATCGTTCTCTTCAGTTAAATTTAATTAAATTAGATCGATATAATTTGAATAATTTTTGAAATTTAATTGAATGAGATTAAAACTGCTGTTGATAGGATTACATGCTACAATATTACATTTGCTACACAATCGTTTATTGCAGGAAATATTCTCTCATTATTGCTTTTAATGTTTTCGGATATAACACAATTATAGGGTTTGGCTTGATGGAATACGGCAGCGCAACACATGGGCGATCTGCAAGGGGGGATGCCACCCAGGAGGACATTCTGTGGGAAACTGGCCCCTTTATTATGTTCGACACGTGAAGAAAATCCGTAGCAGAATGACGAAGCGCGAACCCTCGACCAACTATAATTACAGGCCAAATAGTGCTACAATCATCTGTAATATTTCAAGAATATTCTGTAGTATGAACAAGTGTAGTGTGATATACTGTATCATTTTATAATTTCTTATATTAGAATATCTACCATAAAATGAATGAACTATTTCTAAGGTGAATAGAACATAAAACACTTTATTGCATTTCCTGACTGAATATCTCATAGCCTTTTATTGTAATGCAAAAGGCTTTGAGTAAAGAATGTAGGAAGGAATTTCCTCTCTGGATTTTACAATGTATCTTATTAAAATAAAGGATAATAGAATAGATGTTCTTAAATTTACATAACAGTGTTATCTAGAAATCTAAATCAATCGATTTCACCACATTTAATTCTATGTATTTTCTTTTTTAAACAAAAGAATATGAAATAGTAGTTTGCTTATAGTGACAAATATAGAATTTTATTCCTTCCCTTAGAAAATGTTATCAGAGGGTAAAATGTTTCAGATTTTTCTAAAGTATTTCCTATCGTTGCAGAAGATTGTATGAAGAAGCATTCTTTATCAAAATGTGAATCTCATAGTGGTCTTCTCTCAAAACAATAGCCTTTATCTCCGCGTAGTAAAATATCTTTCTATCGCCGCGAGGAATCCAGATTTGAATCTGAATGGACTCTTTTTTTTTCATTTTCGTTCTTCCTATCGATACTAAGATGGTCTTTTATTCATATTCATCGTGAGTTCGGTCAGGCCCACATTGGAGACGACCGGGTGATGAGGAACGGAACCCAATATATCTGGGACTAATCGCCCATGAAAAAATTCCTAAGATGGCTCTCCTGGATTCAAGCCCCGGTCTCCAGAGGATAGGATGACGCCATAATTGCCACGGAATTTTTACGAACTGATTTAATTGGGGTATAATTTCTTACTTCTTACTCATGTCGATGAATCTCATGAGGACGAAATGTGTAAGTAACAGATTAAGTCACAACAGTAATAGGCGTCATAATTGCTAAAGATAAGGATGAATTTCTTGGGCAAAGAATTGCTTTGAGGTAATTTTCTTTCATAGTAACAATAATTGTCTTTCTATATTTAACTATTGTCAGATTAAATGTTTATGTGTATGTATATAGGCATATATATATATATAACTGATGCAATATATTATAACATTTATAATATGCCAATAATCCTTTGCTATAGTTGGAAACATGAATGATAATGAATTAAGTGTCGCTTCACGAGATTTAATAATTATTAAAAATTACTTGGCCAAAATTCATGAAATTTTTTCATTGCCGGTACTATTTTTAGGATTATAAAAATTTAAATTGCACTAATCTTATGAATACTTTGATTACTTGCTCCCCTCAGTTCATTAAATAAAGCTTGTGAAACATTTTCAAGAAAAAAATTCTTTAGGAAAAAAGCAGTAATGGGTTAGTTCTAAGAACGAAGGATTAATTCGAGAATTACACTCGGAGAAACATTACTAAATCCAAAAAAATCGATAGAAAAAGTAATTAATTTACTAAGCTACTACTGCAAGGTTACTATGCGCTTCTACACGTGGTTGACTAATTTCGAATGCGCTAAACCGACGGAGAACGAATCAATTTATGTAGAATTTTATATGCTGAGCTGCTCTAGAAAGAAGTTTGGCTTATCTTGCACCTTTCTTTTCTCAAAATCTCGCGCTCTGTCTCCTTTTTCAATCAGATTATCCCGCGGATATCGGAGGGGAACAGAAGTCAGGTGTCAATATTTCGAAGCCAAGAAAATCGCATTAATTACCCGGACGGATCGTTTTGTAACGCCTGGATGACAAATGACAGTCGATAGAAGGTCTCCCCTTCAGCAGAAGAGATAAAGAAGCGCTGACGAGCATAAAGGACGATCTAGGATGATTGCATCGCCCCGTAGTCCGGAGGAAGGGACAGGCCCTCTAATCAGCTAACCTAATCTGTCCCCTGTTTCCGGATGTAGCCTCCTGGGGGGGAAGTGCAGCAAGGTGGATCATTAAATCGGAACGCCATTTCGATAACAGCTCGACAGCAGAAACTTTTCAATGGTCCTTTATCCAAGTCTTCGCTAAGAGTTTCTGTGTCACCAGAGGGAGCCTTAAATCAAGCTAAGAGCCGGTTCCTTTGTGCCATTCACACCTATATTTATGCACTACTCAGGAAAGATTGCAAATTTGCTGAAGGATTTTACATGTTGTTTCAACTCTAATCCTTTCCTTTCACTCCTTAAAAATGAAATAATTTAATTAATTAACGATGCCCTTCCCATAAAGAAAACAATTTGCAGAGGTAATCTTTTAATTATTTTTTTAAGGTCTAAAAATAAAGATATCTTACCTTCTTCTTCTCTATCTGTACCATACTGTAGAACTTGGTCCTTATCTTTTCCCACTGCAAAGTAAATAAATATAAACTGTAGTGCGTAAGGTTAGACATACATACATCCATCACTGAAAAAGACAAATTGTCTGGCTTGAAAGAATAAACCACCCTGTTTGGCCCTCCTTCACAACTACAGCTTACTTCTTAGAGTACAAAATGTGATTACTCTCGAGATTAAAGTGGCACTGTTGCAGGAAAGTAGCGTATCTAACACGCTTAGCAAGGGGAAGTGATTTGAAGAGATAATTTTTTTTAAAGTAAAAAGTGCTAGGGTTTTCTAGGCATCATTTCCCAAAATCTGTCGTGGATCCAGGCGAGTAAATAAGATTTGAGAGACAAAACTTTCAAAAAAGAGCTAGGAACCTATTCAGAGAATAGGACCCATGTCGGTAGACAAATGCATTTATGCAGATTATAGTGTAGTAGGGTCTATAGTCCTCCCGAGGTATAACAGTGTGAGTAATCAGAGTTCGATTACCAGCAATCGTGTTAAAAATGTCGAACAAGGTGGATTTTTTCCCACGGTTCCGTTCACACCCTTAATCCCAATGTACGTGCAGAGATTGTAGCAACCTGACGTTCTCTCACGCCTAAAACCGTTTTCATTCTTTTTTTTGATGCTGGAATGAACAGGATGCCTAAAACACTGAAGCACCAACTTCAACATTATACCACTTACGCAAAATAGCTGCTAATGGCTGAAAAATACCATATTAGCAGCTGGGAAATCATTTCTAAAACTGCAGCTACTTAATTGTTTTAGTCTTATAAAAATGTTTATTTTACAAGCAAACTCCGTGCTAAACATAGTTGGATCGATTGTCGTTTCACTTAAGTATTGAACCATGAACAGCCCTTTTATGTTTGATACTGTGTTCATTGTATAATTAAAATATTTATATGACGCTCTAAAACCATTCAGCATAGAAGTATCCATGTTTCTTGAACATATGGATGATAAATTAACAATTAGCTTGATTATAAGTGCCATAAAAAACTCTAACTTAAAACTAGGACACTTAATTTTTATACGTGGATATATTTTTACGTTCAAATATAATTACACCAGAAAAATCTAATGCAAATTATATCTAGTTTATCTGAAAATAAACCTGTTTTATAAGACAAGGGTGTCGTCAAAGATACAGTAAAATTAACCACTATTTTTTGATTATCTTCCCCATCGATTTATTAATATTAAACCGATGACGTGTCCGCCCGCTTTCTCACCTGTGCAGGGTTACAACACCTGTTCTTCTCACTCAAACCCCCTTTTCTGTAGGTCACGTGTTAGGATTTAATTTCCGGTCACGAGCGTCAGTATCACGTGTGAAAGAGCATTTCTAGTTCGCTTCGCTTTACCGATTTTTCTTTTTTAAATAAAATTCTATTTTAATTTTAATTAGCAAAAAAATCTGAAGATACAAAAGAGAATTTTTTTTATCGCCAGCTTTCATGCCACCAATTTTCTCGGTGATAACTGTATCAAAAAAGGCAAAATAGTGACGCAAACTTTAGTTTTAAGTGTTGTCAAAGTCATTATTGAGTTAAGAATTATAATATTTCTGAAATATATAATTGATGAAACAAAATTTTAGAAAAATCTGAATTTATAGAATGTTCTCAAACGAATTTTATTGAGTTTTATAAAACCCGAATTGCAAAATTCGAGATGTACTGTACAAAACTCAAAGTTGTAGTCATCCTGACTGACAAAGTTACAATGTAAAGCAGTCGATACTTCAAGCAAAAGTACTAATTAAGGAGAAAGTATAATAAATAAGTATCACATTTAACTCAATTAGCGTAGAATGAACTTTAAAATTTCAACTTCCTTTGTGGCAGTAATGAATTTGGGAAATTTTGCCAAACTGATACAGTTACTGGCTCGAAGATAAAGAGAAGGAGTACAACAAAGGAAGGATTGGCAATGAATTATGGAAGCGCAGAAGGGAGCCTACTTCATTGTCAGGATTCATTTACTTTAAAGGGACCAACGTGACTGCTATACGTCACGACATCTTACTCGTGACGTGATTAATTAATTGGACGGAGAAATAGATATGGTTCCTTTTTGTTCCTCCATTAATTAAAGTCATGTATCACTCGTTACAAACTTGTAATATTTTCATCGATCTGGCTATTATCAGTCACGTGATTCGAGGAAAGGGGAGTTTACAACCATGACCGACCTCTAACCTGATTATGCTTTCCTCGCCGCTTACAACTGTCTCTTTATTCCAAAAAGTTGCTCCCCCCTTTCGTTTATATTCAAAAACTCGCCCTCTATTCAATTTTATGAGGCCCTGTGATAGGAAACAGTATTAAACTCCTATTATGTAGCTTCTAAGTGTGAAAGAACAAGTGAGCTAAGCAAAGGAGGTCCCAAAATGCATCTTCTAAAAACAGTCTGCCACGATTAACCGATGACATAGAGGGCAATATAAATTGAAAGATCGCCACATAAATCATTCTACGGGGTTTCTAATCGGCATTTGAGCATAATTTACTCATCAGGGTGCATAATTAAAAGAATCTACTGTAACATAGTTTACATTAAGTACCATTAAATGGGTGAGTAATGGGAATTGGTGATTTTGGTGGGTTTCCGTTCTGTAGGAGGCCATTTTTGTAGGATGGGAACACTTTAAATAAAACTACCTTAAAAAGACACCAATGAGATTACTCACCTCTGCACATCCCTCCTGTGCAGTTAGCTGTAGCCAGATCTTTTCCTGGACAGTACCTCCCACCGTTAGAAGGTGGAGGATTGGTACAAGATCTTCTCCTGTGATGTCTACAGTCCGGGCTGCAAGTAGACCACGAAGACCAAGACGTCCAACGACCGTCTACCGCTATAAAACAACAAAATTGATCCACACTTATTACTATAGTAGCACTAAGATATTTCATTAGAAAGTGAAATATTCTGGTAATGTATTTTAATGTGTCGAAATTTTGGTCAGAGGGAACGAACGTCCTGTGAAAAATAGAGAGGAAAAAAATAGCAATAAATTTTTTCATCCTGTAGTAGTAGTAGTTGGTAAAGAGATTAAATCCCAGCAGTAGTGACAGAGACAATAGCAGAAGTTGAGGGATGAGACGATCAATTATACTAACGGTGACAACGTTAAGTGTTCGCCTCATATCTAAATGTTCTCCTTTTTTCTCCTCCTTTTACTTTGCGGTTTTTATTTTGGCAGAAAATCGTTCCCACTATTGTTACTGAGGTAGTATTCGTCTTTAATGTGAATGTATTGCTATATAATTATCGAGTGAAAGACTGGTGTAATAATGGTTATTATTGCTATAGTAACATTCCTGTAAAGACTTACAATGGATCAAAACAGCTTGGCTTGTAGTAACTATTGAAATATGCTATGTGTTTCTATTACATTTAGATAATTGGGCGGAGTTTCATCTTTTCTAAATCTACTCTCTCTCTCTCTCTCCAAAGGATCCGAGTAAACCGGGCGGAGCGCTAGTAAAGCTCTAATGGAAATCAATATCCACGCTCAGAACTCGGTAAACTACTACTTTATATCATTATAGATTCGTTTGATATTGTGTTACAATTTGATAAATGTATATACATTTAAACGGAAGATTGTTCAGAAAAAGATTTTTTTTATAAGTAGTTATTCCGCACCATCACTTCGAATCATATTGAATAGTCACGCGCTAGAAAAAACGAAAGAGCGAGCGCTAAAAAAGTGGCATTGAAGAAGTGAAATTTTTTTATTCCTGTATTTCTTTCGAGTTAAAATTTTCAGTTATTTTAATTAATATAAAATTTAAAAACGTTTAAATAGGGTTAAACTAGATATAAATAGTTTTTTTTTTATTTATTAAAAAGATTTATTCTTTTTTGTAGTTATTAGTGCCATATTCTCTTCTTTTGTAGTGAGAATTTTTAATTAAAATCGACGTCACGCTTTCAAATATGTGACGTAAATTTTGCTGCTGCACTTGAAATCTTTCCTTTTTTTGATTAATGACCTGATACTGATTAATGTTTCTACATTTTTCAGAGGTTTTTATGAACTTCTCATCTTGTGGCAGACCGCAGAATGCAAGAAAAAATTAACACTTTACAAATTAATTTTCTCCAGATTTAGAGAAAAAGAGGAGGAGGAGAAGGAAGAGGAGAAGGAAAAAATTCTCGCTAACTTTGCTTCTTCGCGTGCTGTTACCACTTAATTAGATCTCGGTTATGAGACGGTACAAATTTGTTGATAATTAGGTGAATGATTATATTTAAAAAAACATTAATTAAGTAACCACGTGATAATGAGATAATCGGTATCATTTACGAATTTTTTTCTGTTTTTTTCTTTTTTTTGGTGCTTATTTTGCGGTTTGGATGATGATTCAGTTTACGGGCCTCAATGATAGGTTGCAGTTTTGAGTGGAGTCGTTTGTATTCTCATTTTTCTATCGTTAACTAAATACGCATTATCTTGTTTAACGTTTAAATTTTTTACAGTAAAATGTCTATTTTTAAACTAATAAATTGCTGTGATGTTTACAAAAGTGCACGCAAATTACACTCTAATGTTTAGTACAATTGGAGAAAATTTGTAAGTAATTTGCCTGAAAATGTCTAAAACAATTGTTTTTATACAAAATGTACCATAATTTCTCTATAGAAATAATTTATTTTTAAATTTTGTTCATAGATACAGAGTGCATATAGATACTTTGCATCTGTATTCAAAATTGCATTATAATATAAATTATATAGGCCTGTAGAAAGATTATTCAGATAAATAAACTATTGAGAATATGAAAATTTTAAATGGAGACTTTTATATATATATTTGATATCTTTTTTAATGTCTATAATTTTTCTGGGTGGTTTATAGCTAATTCATTGCGGAAATGCATCTTTGATACTTTGATACCAAAAGCGATAATTCGTTAAATTCCAACATTTTTACATACATTTATATAAAATTATGCTGGATATATAAAGATTATATGTGATATTATATAGTAATTTCTATATCACTTTTATTTATTTTCTTTTGTTGACGTTTGGATCGTGAATTATCATCCATTCTGTGTGGAAATTTCCTTCAATTCTAACGTTTCTTACGCATGCATATATATATATAGAAAAATATTTTAACTTTACTGTTTTGATATCGTTAAGAGAACACAAAGTATAAGTCTGTGTTAAAAAATTACCAGAATAGAATGCTTTTGGGTTATCCATAGACGTCGATAGCAAATATTTCTATCAACCAAAGCTATTACTAACGTTGCAAAAGGGTCAAAGCTAACGTAAATTAAACCAATCGTAGAAGCGTTCTCATAGGAGAAATTCCGAGAAAGCAAACACGATTCGCCGAACAATTTATCTTTTGGACGACGTTTCTCGATAGGTTCAGAATATTGACCTTATTAGATCACGTGGCACTTTCTAAACTAGGTTCGTACTAACAAAACAGTCAAAATTGATACGTCAAACGTCATTCGTCGTCCTGACACAACTCTAATGGTTTCCATTCAGAGAAAGTATAAAAAAAAAGGAGAGAAAAAAAAAGACATTAAAGCATCTGCGGACAGAAGTCGAGCTTTGGATAGATTCTTTTAGGCGGACATGGAGACAAACCCCTGACATTTATTGGACTAGGTTTCTACATGGCTGATACATGATGCTATGTTCACTCTATTTATCATCCGACTGCAGACATGCTGGTCGATCTGACAGCAGAAGAATTGCTTACCCGATTGCAAAAGTCTATTTTTTGATGTTTTGTCATTACTTAGCGCATTTCGCTTCAATTTGCTACTTCTCAATATCGACTGATGCCATGCATTCTTCTCCGACCGCATTCATCCTTCCTTCCATCATCTTTATTTTCGAAATATCTCCTTCCTTTCTTTTATCGTCTATTGAATGGCGGATCTTTTCAAGTTTTTTTTTTATCTTGGAGAAAATTTTTTAATATAAGATTAATTCATTATTTTAAAAATAATTTCCGAGTAGAATGGAAAAAAGTTCTCTTTTTATCAAATATATCTTTATCTTTGCTTGACTATCGCTTTTAGGGACTTGTAATTCACTTTTTACTGCGTAACTTGTGTGCTATAAGTAAAGAACTAATCAATAACTCAATTCCAAAATAGCTATAATACACTTTTTAAAGATTTAATACAATTTTTCTTCTAATGTTTTAACATTCGAGGTGTTCCACCCAAAAATTCCCCATTAATATTTTTCAGATTTTTGTTTTTTGAACAATGTTCGAAAGAATATCAAACCTCTTACTTTTTACTGAATTATTAGCCTACATTTATATGATTTTTATATCAAACAATCCATACAAAAATTTAAAACTGTATCATCCGATTAGAATTCAATCTTCTGATGTGTTGCAGCTTCGCAATAAACAGAGCATTACCTAAGTACTCTATTAAATTTTCAGGAATAAAATATTTTATAAACAGAATCTATCAAAGTATAAGAAATCTTGCTTAATGTTTATATTTAATACGTGAGTTTTATCCTAGAATTTTAAAATATGCAGACTAGAAATTAGATATGATTTGAGTGATCTTGAGATTTTTTTATTGAGGAAGCCATCATATTACACCATTAAATTAAGAACTCCGCCCAATACTATTCATTAAATTCTTTAGAAAAAGTATTTTTATGAGCCTTACCATTTGGTTCCTCTTTTAGGAGGAGTTTTTTTTTTATCTCTTGAAACTATTTTAAAATTTAAATCCTCCACCCACTCATCACCCACATCATCAAATCTACTCAAAATAAATCTGCTATCTCCCCGAAAGTCAGACAAATTGGATAAATTAGGAAACCTACAATAGTCTATGACTCATTGACTGACTCATTCAGAATTTCTAAGATGATGCCCGTCAAATGGCATCCTTACGTTATGGATCAGTTTATTTGTAAAGCAAGCAACAATTTAAAAACAAAAGTAGAGAGCCAAGTCGCTTATAAACCGGCTCCCCTTTTTCCTAAGCTAAAATAATGGAAGGACATAAACGTCACTAGTTGCAAACAATTTAATTGCATTGTATCTGTGCAGAAAACAAGTCTAGAGATGTGAACTGGCGACGTCTCCGAGGTCGTTTCATCAACAACTGTTTTCTGGCAAGACAGGAAACATCATTAGGAAGAAGCAAAGGAAGTCGTTGAGACAACGCAATCGCTGTTCACATGATTTCTCGTGAAATTTGATGAAGATTTCGCCTACCGGAGTTGACGACGTGTAATGTTACAAAATATGATTTAAACTTCTCTTAAATTTTAGTGTTTAACCCCCCTTTGCAATACATCAAGCCGGAAGGATAAAAGGTTAGAATTTTTTTTTACGATGGTGGTGTTTTCGATTGAGTCATCCCTTCTCGGTGTAGAGTGGTATGTGCAGCCAAGAAAACATGTTAGGTAAATCTATCGTAAAAACTGTCGCTTTGATAAGAAGCACGGATGAATCCCCAGCGACACAAATCGTCGTAGCTCTACTTTTTTCGATAAGAATGGACCTTAATGGAGTATGAAATCTTCTCGGAGTGCCGGGGGTTCGAGTTTTCTCGTGTCGTTATTGCTTCTTCTTCTCGGTAGATATAGATTTACACGTCCATTAACTCTTTGGTTATAAATCGCAATCGGGTTGAAAGTCGTCCAGGCAAACGCGACGGGCGAACAAACAGGGCGTAAGAAGAGAAAACAACAGATAAATGCGGGAAGAAGTTGTAAATAAAAGACAAGGAAAAAAAAGAGAAAACGTGTATAGACATCCTGGTAAGAGATTCCGAATGGTACGTTTAGATAAAGTGACGTAGAACAATGATGGCGGAGGAAATGTGGCGAAGGCGCTATTTTGTAAATATGTCGCAATCAAATTCTCAAAAAGTATTGATAGATGACGAGATGAATTGGAAAAGGTTGTTTGCCAGACAAACATCAATCAAGAGGAGTGGACGACAGTCTCTGGCTGTCACTTCTACGATTAACGAGCTTCTAGTGAAAAGAACTGCACAATGCATTCAGACGACATTTCTGGCGGGAGTAGCACTTTTCCTATTGATGCTAGCGCATGCTCTCATCACGTAGGGCGTCGTTAGATGCTGCAGATAACGGGTTAATGACTTAGTTTAGGTTGTAGCAGTTAGTTGCAGGCATCGAATGTAAATACGAGCCTTCTCTTATCTTTCCATCCGAATGTTATACTCCCGTTTAATCTTCCTTTATGATGGGGATTATGTCGTCTCCCTTCGTCTTTTATGCTAGTTTTGGAGCTGTTGGTACCACTCTCCGGACGTTAACCGTAACTACTCATAAGTCAGGTAGCGTGGCAGGTACTTAACTTACCTTCTACCTTCCCATACGTGATACTCGACTCGGGTCAATTGGAGAATGCTACCGATGTTGCCGACAATGGAGATTTATCGGGATAGTTTGTGCAGGGAACGTTAAATGGCATTTAACAAGCCATTGTAGGTCAGTCGTGCAACTATTTTACTCACTTTCGTCACTGTGTGCTATCCGAATTCAGTAGGGGAATATAACTTCTTATGATTTTATAAAACCATTTTGATATATTTTATATTGAAGTAATTCTACTTTGAAGTTTCTTACGTTTAGTATGAGTCCAGTCGAGGTTTTTTTTCCTTCTTTACTTCTGAACACCCATCATTAGAAATGTCGTTCTCTGAGGCAGCTGTTGGAGGAGCGTGTTGAAAATTTCCAACAATTGTGGCCAGCAAATGGACTCAGACAATTAAATGTTACTAATTATCATCAGTTAATTGTTCAAACTTTGCATTGATGAATTAACGAAGAACAAAATGATTTCCGGGATAACGAGGAGGGTGGTCACAAATGGCGCATCTATCCTGCTTGGGCATTTACATAAAACAGACACGCAATCTGGTTAGCAGCTTCATAAACTAACTTGATTTATAGATTGACAGACTCTGGGCGATTGCATTTTGCCAGATTAGTCGGCACTCGCTTTATTGTTTTCCTCTTGTTGGGCAGTGGAACAGCGCGAGAGAAAACTCTCGGGATATTTTAGCTCACGTGATAGAATTTGTCGTGTTAGACGCTTCTTTTAGCAAGTTATTCTTCCATGTCACATGACTAACTTACGCCTCTTGTACTCCAGAATAGAACGTTAATAATCGCGTTTACTTTGCGTGGAAACTCTATTGGGAGTTATCGCACGCTCTAATCGAGAAGGGCTCGAGTTTTTTATCTCCTTCCTCGCCGCAATACCTGGAAGAAAACCACGTGATTAGGTAACCAGACACCCAACAAAAATCAAGCGAATCTCGCCCGGCACATTCAATTATCACGCGATCAGCACCGCAACCGCAAATCAAGGCTTATAGGGTGCGGCGCATCACGTGACTGGCAGAAAAAAATCATCAGGAGAAATTATCGGGAGTAAGTTGTTGCTAAACAGGCAGAGTAAATTATGATGCAAGAAATTGATTTCTGCGCAACAAGGAGCAAAAGAAAAATTAATATTTTGGGCGAACGAACCTTTAATTTTATTATCAAGGCGGAATTTAATATAAAAATTTGATAAATTTATCCTAGAAAAATCTCCAAACATCCATTAAGTTCATCGATTCTCGCTCAGAAGCATCTCGACTTATAAATGATTTTTTTAAAAAAATGATACTGTTACTGTAACAATACGATTCGTTGATACTGTTTAAATAAGAGGATGATATGCTACATACCAGGACATATGGTGGTGCAGTCTGCTGTCTGCACGCTTTCTCCCGTGCATAGTTCGCCTCCATTGAGCGGAGCCGGGTTGGTGCACATCCTGGTGCGTGTTTGAGTCGCTCGTCCACATTGAGCGCTGCAGTCGGTCCAACGGCTCCACGTTGACCATCCTCCATTCACTAACATCGATAATCAGAAATTCTATATTAGCTTAAAGAACGTGTAGATTTATGCTTTTACATTAACCAAACAGGGCATAGCAACGAAGTAGAGTTCAGCTTGATTAATTCTTCCTTTATTAAAAACTGAGTATCTAAATTGCTCTATTTACTAGATGCTATTACAGTAATAATAGTACTTTAGCGGCATTGATAGCGCTACCATTTTAACCCTTGAATATTTCTGCAATGTTACATTCGTGCTAGAAGTTCAGTGACATGTTTGCGAGAATGAAAAGATGAATTATGCTTTCATACAGTGGCGCGTTATAGCTTCATGAGGCTCAGGCAAATTTGTGTTAGGGGGCCCCGTGTTAACTTCAGGAATTTAGGGGGGAATCTTTTCTTATGAAAGATTGGTTTGGGGCCTCACATAAAATTTCCCTTTTCGCACATAAGCATCACTGCTTTTATAATAATAATTTTTAAAATGTCATCTAGTCTAGTTTCTTAGGTGAAAAAACAAAGAAAAATTCATTTATTAACAGCAAAATTGCAAAATAATTGCATTGACATAATTGTAGTTTAAAAATTCAATGTAAATGTATAGTGATACTTCTGTAATAACATCAGTAATCTTCTTGAAGCAACATAAACCGCAGCAACAATAAAGAATTCGAACTAAATACGTTTAAGCAATAAAATTGGCATAAAATGAACTGCTAGGTCAGATCGAGTTTCTCTTCTTTAATCTTCTGGTAGTTTAGGATCGAGGACAAATGAACGTAATACTAATATAGTAATAAAACTAGCGGAGGAGGAGAGAGGAGACAACTCGAAACCAGGAATTGAATTTTCTTTCCAATTTCGCTGCCAATTTCTGCAGTTATAAATGCTTTTACAATAACAAAAAGTACTTTCTTAGTAACAAAGTGTATTAAGAGAGGCGTAAAAGGGAAAACTCCTGCCACCTAGTCAATAAAAACAAAACGAAAAAAAAAAAGATTGCTTCATTGCTTATCGGGGAGATAAAAATACTACTACAGCAACAAAAACTAACGAGGAAACGGGAGCGCCTGTGTTATAATAAAAAGAAACGATCTCGGCAGGGCGGACGAGTTGACATTTTCTTGCCGAATGACCGGATATCTGGGAAAAGGGAAGAAATTAAATAAAAATACTAGTGCAGTAACAAGAAATGACGTACAAGTGGCAAAGCGGCATCCACGCATCATTAGTAGCATGAAATATAAACCGAGCGCAGTCAGTGCATGTGGCTTTGATTATATTTTGTGCTATATTTATCTGTTTTGTATTTACAGACCGCCGTTCTTCGTTCCAATGCCAAATATGTTTTAAAAAAAGACTTACTTATGCAAATGTTCCTAATCAAATTACATTCAGCTGACAGAAGGCTTGCTACCGGTTAGTAGCCATACGAATGATTAAAAATTAAACATTGAAACGATGTAATAATTTTTTTAAAATTGTAAACAACGAAAAATTTTAATGGATTTTAGTATTATACGAATGAAATCTGAACAAAGAGTATATTATTTTCGAGAAAATAACTCAGGCGGAAGAGTATCAAAGAGCAATTTACGACAAAGAAACTAAAAAAAAAATGAGTGATGAGATTTGATAAAATTTACTACGGGAGCAACAAAATGAATTTAAAACTAGTAAACAACCGGGATGAAAGCAACAAGTGACATAACAGCCGTATCTCGTCACCTACTTTACGGTAAACAACAAAGTGAAAAGTTGCAGATCTACTTCTTCCCACTGCCATAGATAAAGGTAACAATTTATTACTATAGAAGCACAATCTTGACAATCAAACCACCGGACGATTTTAGTAATAATCGGTTTGGTTTCGGGTAAATATGGAAGATTGGTTATAAATAATTGTATAGAACAACTTCCTGCACCCGACGTAGGCGTTGTGGCACTCATAAGGCTGAGGAATAGTTGCTCTTGTTAGACAGCCCAACATCAATCAAGACAAACAACCGAAATTACAGGCTCGCCACAGTCCAATTCGGCTTCTACAGACTAATGGACTCTTCCTACCGACACAAATTATAAGCTTGGCCCACCTGAATCTCCTCGGGGTCGAAGAAGCTCTAGGGTAGAATGCCTTTGTGCTCTGTTGACATAGCTTTAATAATTACATATTCTTACAGGACGCATGAAGAATGTTCTTATTTATTCATCAGTTTCATATACAAAAGCTCTTTGTTTGAATTTCAAGTTTGTAGCAAGTATACGAGCGGGTCTTCTTAGAAGAAGACGAGAGATAGCGAAGGTTTGAAGAAAAGCAACTGTCAGAAGAGGACTAAGTATAGAAGTTTTAGTGAGATGTCTATCAAGAGTGGAGCCTTTCGTCAAAGGCGCCCAACCTCCCCTCCTCTCTCCTATCTCTGTCATCTCGTCCAAAACGGTCGGAACCAATGAATAAAACAAGTATTTGCCGGACAAAAAGGGAACAAACAACGACAGGGCGGTTTGGTCGGAACCGCGGGTCAAAGGTCCTGCACAACACAAGAATGCATTGAATGCTGTAGGGTTCTGGATGGTACACAATCAACCAAAGTGGACACGAGTTCAATACCGTTAAAACGCCTTTCTTCGAGGTCAAAACGGATAGACTGTTAGCATTTTCGCTGGTTCCTAATATGTCAACTGTTTGTGTTAGATCCGGTCGGCCGCTTTGTACTTTGAAACCTTAAGAAGTAATCAAGAGATTGGTTTGGTATTTTTGTACGTATACCAAGTTACACGCGCGTATCAGTTCAGAAGAGAAGCCGTAATCAAATTTTGGCAGATGTTTAAGCATGCAAATTAATGAAACTTGGCAAATTTTGATTCAGTTATCGTTAAAAGTTGGCATATAACAAACTAATTCAATCGAAGCGTTACTTCTGCTGCTGCTACTATTTTCGTTCGAAAGTAAGATTAATTACCGACGTGGACAATAAATAAAATCCCTATATGCACAACAACGCGCCAATAAGGTAAACAAACGGATAAATATGTTAACAAACAACAAAAATTGCAGTTGATGACTTCCAGGATAAGTTCATTTATAGTCTCGAGGCATTCGCCATCGTCAATAGTTTGTACCCAGTTCATTTTTAGAATCGCCATGTGGCAAATTACTGCCAGAATTGTTTACATAATCGTCGAGAAGAACGAGGTCGGAATAAAATCTAGGTTCAATAGTAAAGAAATAAACTCGTGTGTCACTGTAAAAAAATCTTTTACCGATCGAACCATAAAATTCGTTGAAGTAATGTTAAAAAAATTGATTTTAATCGTTAAAAAGATTGATTAATTGAACAGAATCGATCTGAAAGCCGAATAACATTAAAGTTCAAACTTTGTTGATGGATAATTAATCTCTAGTTAAGAACGAATGGCTAAATTTTAGATACAAGATCAAGTTATCTTCTACACCTCACGATTAAATTAGCTTTATAGTAAAGCCAGGTTTGTAGCTACGAAGTACGACTTGTTGTCAGTAATTCGACCTTTACTACTGGAAGGCTGAAACGAGAGGAGAGCAGATGCTCTTTATTTACTCATTAATTTTTTTTTCTTTATGAAAAGGATGTAAAAACATAGAAGTGCAAATGAAGCAAAATCATAAACAAAAAGCCAAAATTGTTTAATGGATCTACAACTCTTCTTTAATTGACGTAAAAAAATGTATGACGGTCGCGAAACACTGAATAAGAAAAGCAATTATTGTTTTAAAAAACATCCAACATCATTAAACAAAATTATAAGAAGGAAACTTAATACAAACTGCGTTTCTTTCTCCTCCTCCTCCTCCTCCTCCCGCTCTCCTCCTCCTTCTCTTATATATTTTTTTGTTCTTTTTCTTAGTTATGGCACTCGATAAAAACAGGATCGAGCCAACTTTTACATTACCACAACTTGCCGTTCTTTAATGGAACAATCGAAGAGTGGAACTTTCAGATTGTAGAAGGGCTAAAGAGTTTGCTCGATATTTAATTCTCTTTAGATGTCGACTTTAAGCTGCAAATGGAATTAAGTCCACTATTATCTGCACGCCAGCTGCTGAGAAGCGAAGACCTCGTCGTAAACTGATGCGATGTCATTACGTCGCCCCGTGATGTCCGGCCCCAAATGGACGTTTGGCGAGGTAGCTGCATCGATTAATGAGGTGAAGATGCTATCTGCGGTTTGGTTTCTCCATTTAAACTATCTACTGGAGGCTCGCCTCCAAAAGTTTATTTTTTTTAAAGTACTTTTTACATTAAGAAGGTGTCCAGAATTTCGTGTCTCTACAGAAATTTTTATGCCCTCCTCTCTCTCTCTCTCTCTCTTTGTGTAATTTATATAAATTATTTCTATAAATATTAAATAAAACTTGGTTTCTTGGGTGGTTCCTCGAATGCCTCGTAAAAAACTTCTATCGTATCTCGCGTTATATAAAATAAATCCACTTATAGTAACTTTAGTTTATTTACTACAGCAACTAGAACAAATTGCTACATCATCAAGCAATTGCTCTTTATACAAACTCCAACTCTAGAAAGACCCGTAACATTCTTAAATTTTACAACCTATTAAAGTCATCTGGATTTGGAAACTTAACTTCTTTATGTGGCATTCTCTTCTATAAACGTCGAGCAAATTAAATAAGGAAGATGCCTGTTTTCATTAAAACTACATCAAGGAAATTAAAGGGTTATTTTGATCATTTAAAAAGAAATAAAAACGATTAATTTACAAGATTACTCAGTAGAAAGCGTAAGAGAGCTAATTTGGCCCTTTGGCTAAAGAGAGGCAATTAGGATAAGTTAGAAAGGAGCGTATCTACTTCAATGATACGATATCTTGCAAAATAAATGATAGAATGTCTATTGGAAGATTTTTTTTACCTTTATCGAAACCTTTCACAAAAGTCAGGTATAAAAATTCCTTCGACTATTCTGCAATTTCCTTTTCCTCTCGAAAAAAAATCTACTACTTTTTTCTTCCTCTTCCTCCCGGAGTTTTAAAGATCTTATCGTTTTAACGACTCTTTCAAAGGCTGTTAAAAGAGCCCTTCTACCGAGTTGTAGTGGGTTAACATTGTTTTGCCGCGATGATGAACCCAGGTCTCTTTTTAAACTGCTATAGAGTACAGTTGAGAAAATCTATTGATCCAGTAGTCAGACTTCTATAGAATGAAACTAGACATATTTTAGTTATAAGTTCTTATATAATTTCATTACAGAATACTAAACGCTTCTTGCAAGCATGCACTTGCTGAAATTTTGTAAGTGAAAATTTACATTTCTGAATGTAAAAAGGATCTACACTTTCAAATTTGCATCGTTTACCTTATGAAATTTGGTACAGTAGAGCTTATATATCAATTAATCACCTTAAAATACTTAAAATTAAGAGATGTAACTTCAAAGGGTTGCAATTTGCATATTTACTAAACAATATATCGCAAGATAGGAAATTTCTTGGTATACTTAACGAATGAAGATTAATGCAGTGTTGCACTTTACTTCTTGCTATTATGCCCAATTTTTTTTATCATAAAATCACCTACCGTAGACTAGAAGTGCGGCAGTCTCGCTGAACCTCTGTCCAGCTATATTCCTGGCTCCGCACGTATAATTTCCCACATCAGACAATCTGGCTTGACCTATTAACAAATTTCCTTCGTTGGAGATGATGAAGTTGGGATCTTTATCCACTTCTATAATATCGCCATTATGTACCCAGAAGACGTCAGGCGTTGGTAGTCCTTCCGGTGGTAGACACTGCAACGACACCTGCCTCTCGAGCTGGATGTTGACACTCAGAGGTTGATTCAGGAAATGCTTCTTCAAGTCTACCAAGAAGAGAAGTACGGTCACTCATGTCAGCTTCTTTAAATGTAGTGATTAGCATGAATTAACGCTTCTCTTTGTTAGTTAGATGTTAGAGAGTAAGAAAGAAAAAGATTTTGCCAACTTATTCTTATACAGCATTTCATAGAGTTAGTGAATCTGTAATCTCTAAAGCACACTTCTCTTCCTGCACGTGATTTAAAGCACTCCCTTCTCTTAGCAGGACATTGAATGCGATGCAGTCTCGATAAAATTGGAAATCTAGAGACGAGAAACATAACGATTGCCATTTTTCTCAACATAAATCGCGAATAATGTTTTATTTGTCTCTTCTACATATCTAACAGAGACTGACTATTGCAAGAAAAAGAGAGTTGAAGGAGGTATTTTACGACTTTATAACTTCTTTAAAAGCTCGCCAACTCGTCACCACCTACATTGAATGCTTTGCACTTTCATAATCAGCAACAGTACCCCTTCAGAGAAAAAGAAAATGGTGCAATGAATGGCGAACAGCATTGACTAAACAATCTATAAATATGTCGGCAAAGGGAAGGAAAAGTACTCAGTAAATATAGCAACAGCATCAGTGGATATCGTCAACAGCTGAACTTCTCCACTTTCACGTCTTAAACGTCGGGTTGGGCATTTTACATTTGAACGATATGTAAAAGTCCCAGCGTGACTATTATACGCCTGACTTATCAAATGGGGTTAAAATGGCTCCCTACTACAGTTAGAAGTGAGTTACAGTTACACGTCTGAACGTCAAGACATTTTTACACCATCCAATCCAGTGGAAAAGCTCTTTGGTACAGTTAAATTGGAGAATATTTTTTAATATTTATACAAAATTTATTCGGATTTTAGTAGTAGGAACATATTTTTTCAATTTCTTACAAATTTGCAACATCATTTTTCTGGTAAACCACGTTATTCGGTGTATTTTTTAATGGAAGAATATTAACAAATTTAATCATAAGCGGGCACATTTTGCACTTATAATAATTCCAGTGATAAAATTGCAGAGAATCACAAATAACATCATCAAAACAAGCTTGATTATCAAGATAAATGGCGAAAAGTCGAGAGAAGTAGAAGCAGGAATGTGCTTTTTAGAAGAGAGATGGTCATATTGACACACACTAGAGACGAGAGATATGGAATTAGACGTGGCTGTCAAGATAGCAAATTCCTGAGGAATTTCACACCCGCCGGAAATGTGAGGGGATTCCAAATTTTAATTAAATGTCCGAACAAAATAACTACTGACCCTTGGCGGTCACCATCTGTCTGCCACTTGGCTTCAATATAGATGTTTCCCAACCTGGGGACAATTTGTCTTGCTGTCATACGAAATTTTAACTTTGAAATATAAAATTCCTCTAGAGCATCCCCCTATACTCTCAGGTCGATTTTTGTACCTTAATTAAAACTTTTAAGATAAAGAGCGTTCGGTACTACCATTCTTACTTTAACTCCCAGGCACGGTTGTGAGAGTAACAATTCAATAAAGTTCACTTATTTTGAATTGATCCACCTGTTTGAATTTTGTGAAGTAACAAAGCTGTGTGCTAACACATTGATTTTTATCATATTCAATCATCAAATATGTTTAACTTGATGTAGAACTTTCAGTTTGTAGCGTTAATAACTTTTCAGTTTTATGTTTGCATTGATTACGTTGTAAACAAATAAGATTACGTTAAATTAGAATTTTCTTCTTATTCTTTTGGTTAAGTTACAAATTTTTTTTTATAAAGTCTGGACTAAAATAAAGTTATGAAGCAATATCTTTGTTGTCGATTGTCATCGAGTGAAGGATCTTCAAAGAATGAACAGCTACTATAGATAGGGGCCATTATAAATAGAGGAAAAGTAAGTTGGACTCAAACGAAACGCTTTATCCTCCAGATATCCCGATCTATTTATTATCCGAACATTAAACATCTCGGTGGCAGGAGTGGACGTGAAGAAGTTGAAGAGCCACTTCACAAAACTCCTCCCGCACAATGGCAGCAACGAGAGCCAAACGAGCCACTTTACCTTTTCTCCTTTTCTAGATTGCTTCCCTTTTTTTTGACAGTTTACCTCCGCTTCTTTTTGCAGTCATGCAACGTAATTTAGCTTAACTTTTCTACTAAAAAAAAAACTTTAAAAAGATAACTCCAGGCTAGCCTTCTTCCACTTAGTTGGAAAGGAAATGTCCCAACTCGATTACATTTTTTTGCTAAAGGAAGAGAAGCTGCAATCACTAAAAAATAAAAAGCCCAAAAATTAAATTTAAGAAGTGAAGTGCGTTAGATTGATTCGTCTGTTTGAGAACTCCGATCAAAAGTAGAGTAATAGGTCAATACATGACTTGAAGCCAGCCAACTTATGCTAATGGCAAAAAATTATATTTCAAATTGGATGACATACAATAAAGATACAATAAAGTCTCCTTTCTCGGTCAGAGTCTTTCTGGGGGTAATAAAATTCGTCTCCTATACAATTGCTCCCTCGTAAAACGGCCTTTAATTACGGACCTGACAATGACGTTGTGACCTTGTTGGCTACAGAGGCAGACAAAAGGGGAATGTACTGTACACCTTAAACAGAAGAGAACGGAAGCGTTAGGCAATGCGCAAGTTAAGCCTTTAAAGGATAGCTTTGTACTAATGCCCAGTTGCAGAGAACCAGTTAAAGTTAACAGCTCTGCTCAGCCATTTGCTGCCGAAAAGACGCATGGTTATAGCGACAACATTGCACGCCGAGTGCTCAGAAAAGCGTGAATGTCACCCGGTGGTGGATGGAGCCGTCACCAGCTAACTAACCCTAGCTTCTCGGTTACATCTCCATTGTCCCCGCATTCGGCTGGTCCTGACATCAGCTCCACCCCTTGCGAGGCAAAGATTAATGTCCCGTGACTTCTTGCCCGCTTCTGATAATCAATCTGTGACCGCGTGTCACAGACAGTCACCCAATCGGGATCTGTCACGGCGAGATGACAATGGAGATGCCAGGGTGGATACACAGCCACTGCATCTCCGCTTAGGTGGACTGCACTTCCTCTCTTATTAACTTTATGCTCCGTAAATTACAGTTACAGTTAGAAATACGTAACAACTAATGTCCATCCTTCCCAAAACATCTCCAATTGTCTTTCGTGTATTCGTTTGTGCCACCTCTAAGCGTGACAAGAAGGTATAACCCCTATCGGTGCCCCCGATTAACACATAATAAAGGAGAAGAGGGGGCACCGACCGAGTTGTCAATACTCTCCTTTTTTCGGTACATCACGCCCCTTGGCAGATGGACAAGAACAGAATTCGTATCTCGACAGTTATGGAGCCATCTTGCCATCATCCACGGAAGACAGAAGTCGAAGAAGAAAAGGAGAGAAACAAAAATGACGTCTGCTAGCAATAGGTGACGCTTAAAGAGTTACTACATTTAACAAATTAATTCTCCTAACGGCCGTTTTGTGTCTTCTGAAAGTAGTGGAGCGTTTAATCGAATGACTTTTTCTTCTTAGAAACACGCCTCTTCTCTTTCATCAGATTAGAAACGTTCCATCGACAATTCTTTTCATTTTTTTTATTCGATTCTCGCACACAATAAGTAGTATAACTGAGAGCATTGTCGTGACGCCTCACTTTAGCGATTGTTTATTAAAAATAGACACGTTGAAAGATGAGGATAAGTCGCCCCACCCCAAACGAGGTCAAAAAGGTAACGTGACGTAAGAGTGGGCGGCATAAATCTCCAAGAGCATTCTTCATCCTCTCCGGCTCGTTAGTAGTAGTAAATTTTAGCTCGTTATTTCATCCTTAAACCATTCGGTGTTTAAAACGCGGGTGTTTTTTTTCTATCTCAAAAACTGTAAATTGATAGAAATCACATTTCTTTTAAAAAATCTGCTTAAAGTTGAACGAGAGAAACTTACTTTCAGTAAAGGAGTACCATTTATACCATTGGAGGATTTCGCTTGGGATGGAAGCCGAAATTGATTTTAAACTTAAAAAAAGGGGTGAAAGAACGAATTTTCGACTAAAAAAAAGAGAACTTAATCTAGAAGAAAGTTCGAGAAACTTTTTATAGGGAGAAGAAAAGATTCGAGTCTCTGACTGTACATTCAATTACACGTGTAGCTCGTTTTGGACACTCGGGATGGTGCAATTCTTTTCATGTCCTGCCAAGGTTACTCTGATTAGCTTCTCCCCAATGCAGCGAATCAATAGCTTTGCCCTCTGCTGCCTGATGGCCTCGGCAATTACTTGGTGAAAGCGAAGGAACGTCATTCCTCTCTTCCTGTCAATCCACAGGTGTGTTACCTTCATTGGACTAAAATTTACTTCTTCCTTAAGTATAATATCTTGTTTATTTGACGAGCTACTTTCCTGCAATACCAAGTTAATGCTTTACTGTAATTTGGCAATGAAAGCTTCATCGTTCAGACCGTTTCCAGTCAAAAAACCGAAATATTTTGTTAGGAACAGTACTTTTTTAGCAAGAAAAATAAAAGAGAAACAACAAGACGAGACCCGATCAAAGAAATTGGATCTTAAACATCTCATAAATTTATATTATAAAGGAAAGACGATTCTTGTTCTTGTTCGTGTAGAAGTATAGTGTAATTACTAAGGCCTATTTGAAGATAAGTGTAATTACTTTACTTATAAGAGATAGGCGTAATTAGGACTTCGAAAAAATACGGGATGGTCCGTCTCCGGAATGATAAATTGGTCGAATTACCTGCTATCTTACCTTTACTATTATAGTAATAATAATAGTGCGTGGCTTAATGTGTTTTTATCGTGATTCGTTTTGTATGTCTTGTTGCTGTAGTTATATAGATTTGCAGAAGTGGTTGTTACCGCAGAAGAATGTATGAGCTACTATTGTTACAAGTTGTACGGTAATTGCTCAATGTTTATTGTTATTGCAACAGTATCGACCAGGGATTTATCCTGAATTTGTTATCATAGTGAAGGATTATCTAGTCAAAACAAGTGTTGGATGTCGATACTCGTGTTTGTTACGATAACAGTATCGTTTACTTATACTGTGTTTAATCTACTTCATTTACTATTGAAACTGTTCATTATACCCTTTGTATTACTTTTGTTGTTAAAGCAGCACATTAAGTTAGTCGAGGCAGAAAATGCATCAGAAATCTTGTTTAAAACGGCAAACAAAGGAGAAGGAAGCAGTAAAGCGTACTTGTTAATAAGAAAAGTGTGGGAAAGGAAGGTTTTGTTGTGACGCCTCGACACCAACCAACCTTAATGGTCCCAAATTAAATTAAAAAGTCATTTTTTGCCACGTAATCAATCGGCCCGGATCTTCGAAGCAGAAACAAACGTTCCGGATAACACAATAATTAATTTGTACGGATCATTAACTCAACTTCTCCCTCGGGTCCTTAGAAATTTTGGAAAGAGAAAGAGCGAGCGCCCGTCAAGACAAGAGAAGCAAGAATTTTCCTTAAAGGAACAACAGCAACTCCTTGCTGTACGGTAAATAGGATCGACCGGGATCTAACGAAATCATTAACTCTATCTTAAAAGCAAAGCAAGTTTATCTGAAGCGAGTCATTATCGCAACATAGTCGTGTCATTAAATCGATATGTTTCCCTAAGAATTGAATTGCTTCCATATATTATCGATTTTCCAATGACAAAAAGCGAGATGCTAAGTACTCGCAGATTGAATAACGCTGTGTAAAAAAATGATGCTACAATAAAGTCACGTGGGAAATCTTCCTTTGCATGTTTACTAATGAAATCTAATACTTTTTCCCCTTTATTAATGCCGATTCTGCATTTTTCTTGCTCTTTAGTTGGCGCCGATAGTCCGAATAATTGAAAAAAAGGCAGAAAAATATAAATTGGTCTCTACTATCTTTCCAAACCAGAGATACAATACAATTAAGAAATGTCCTTCTTGTTACTGTTAAGAAGAAAAAGAGTTAGAATTTCGATAGTGTTGGATTATTAACTCAGTGCTCTGAGGAAAAATGAGGAAAAGTTAAACCAAGATTAATTTAATTTTTTGTGAGAATTCAGTTTACGGAAGACAGTAAAAATTATTGTAAAGTATCCAAAATCATTAATGCAGCAAATCAATATTAATTATATTAGTCATCCTTAATTGTTTTTCGTGTGGCAGAAATCGATTAATGTTCTTAAATTTACATTGTAAGAATTAATTTTTGTCATAAATTAAATTTTCGAATATTAATGCGGATTAATTATATTTAAAACATTTTTATGATAGATTTTAATTACAAAAAAAGCATTGTTTCATATTCACTTTAATACATTTCTCCATATCTGCTGTGTTGGTTGTATAAGTTTAACTGTAATCGAAGAGGTGTTTAACACCCCCTCCAAGGAGTAAGTGAAAATAAAAATTTGACGATTGTAACACGTGTTTTGTTCTCAATACTAGTAAAATACCAGAAAGTAGAAGAGCAGTACTTACAAGCTACGTTGATGATGGCTCTACGGCTCTTAATTCTTCCTGTTGATGACCAGGCGTAACAGATGCAGTTATAGTTATCAGTCCCGTCATACTTCTCCACGTCGGATCTTGTGATGTCGACAGAAACTTCCACGTGTCTTACACCCGTCATAGGGTTGACAAAGTCCTGCTGGCTGTGCTGCCTATTGTCCACTAACTGCCCATTGCACTCGAAATAAACCTGCAGAGCGTGACGTGCTTTGCAAGATAGTGTTGCGGGTTTGTTACGAACAACGTAAGCATCTTGGGGTTCCTCGATGAATATAGGAACGTTAGAAGGCTCCGGATCTTCAGTGGGTAGCGGATCTAGCAGGAAACCACCGCCTAGAAAGAAATTAGGGTGCTTTATTTATAAGAGAACGAATAAAAGTAATGGATATTTTTTAATATTGCATAAACAGGAAGGTAAGTTTTCCAGTAGGATCGATAATAATACATTCTTAAAATAACAAAAATACTTGGTTCGTGTTTAAATGTAAATATAACTTACCGAAATTGAAAATTTATTGCATAAACCCGCTTAAACTATCGACAAGCCTTTAATTTAGGAACAAGGAAGAGAATGCATAGAATCGGTCCATCTCTTCCATTTCTCTTTGTCAGAGAGTTGCTAGATTCCGATTTCTTTGAATGGAGAGGAAGGCAGTCGAATCTAAAGATCTTAATCCTGCCGAAAACAATACTGCGGATGCAAATGATCGTTTCCATAGCAACCTATAGGCCCCGGTCTAATCTCTCCATAGAGCAGATTTGGTAAGCTCTATTGAATAACAGCTTCCATACGTCATTTCATTCTTTATGAAGTTTGGAAGCCGGAATCGACTCTGAACCAATTTTTATTTTAATAAATAAAAAAGCGATTACCTACGGTAGCGTACGATTATAAATAGGGATGTAAGACAGGTTTTTGTCCGTACGAAATTAAGAAAGCTTCTTACAGATCCAACACTACAAATTCTTGGGGAAGAGAAGTAATTAATGAGACATTCAACGGTCAAGAAAAACGATGGGGGAACTCTTCAGACCGTCTGTGTTTGAACAACTCTTGTCTGACAAGTAACCTTGTAGTTCAATAACGTGATGTTTTACCTCATCCCCTCGAGTCTGACATTTAACCGGTTTTCGCCTGAAGAACAGTAAATTCTTTTTTTTTTTTCTTTCTCTTTAATTTTTTCCAACAAGGCAAGAATGGGATGTCCAACTCCACCTGGATTTATCCTTTTGTGTTTCTGAGCCTCGGGTGTTTTATCACTTTGTGATTGTCCTTCTTTAATTATACAACACAACTAGCTCATTCAATTCGGTCACCTCTAAACGCATTTTTGTCTATAATCTTCTTCTTCATTCTTTATTAAGCTACAAATTCTTCGTGTTCATTTTATTTAAGTAAGCGGAAAGGGCTACACTATGCTCTATTTTTAAATTTTTCGTAAATTTGAACTTAAAATTAATTTAGCAGTTACATAAATCTCCGCTAGATGGCATGACTAAACAAGTAATTGTACAGAGTTTTGGTAGTTTTATAGTTTTCTGACTCATCAAAATTTGCATTTTCAAATTGAAGTGGAAGGAGTATCTAGAGCACGATAAAATTACTAAAAGCGGAATTTCTATTATAAAGCAGAGAATTAAAATATTTAATTATTCTCAGTGAATGTAATTTTAGTAAAGATAAGTTCTAAACTATCGGAAAAATACAGTCTAGCCTCGATATAATGTTTCCCTACATAGCGACAGTCAAAGCTCGTGAAAGAATCTTCCTCGTAACTATTAAATGATGGCATCTTTTGTTATCTCGGAATTGCCAAATGCAGGAGTTTGCATTGCAATGGGCATTGTTAGCACTAAATCACGTGACTCCCAAAATCTGTGGCATTGTTAGCACAAATCACGTCACTTTCAAACGCTCAAACTGCAAGCTTGTGTGTACATCTCGTGTTCGAGTTCACCCGCTTTTAGCGCTACACTCGATTTAGTGACAATTTCTATCGAGGTTTGGTTGTATTTTCGTAAAATAAAATATTAAATCCCAATATAAGTTTTAAAAAATCATTAAAAGTTAGTAATTTTTTTCTATAATTTTCACAAAATTAACTTTTTGTTATAGAAATGCTTCATTTTTTGCTTCGAGTAGTGTCAGCAAAATTATTATTATTTTCTTTTTATTTAGTTTCTTATATTGTAGAGTAATAACGATATTGTCTCCGGGTCACAAATAGATAGAATATGAACTGAAACTAACTTTTCTTTTCTAGGAAACGAAACAATATCGAAGGAGAGAGAGAGAGAAGAGAGAGAAAAAAATTCGATATAGTGATCATTATTTTTTTTCCAAAAATACACCATCGCTTATAGTTTTTAATTTCGGTCGAAGCTCCTTTCATATCAGATTAAAGGAAAGCTGCTTCTTTCGATTTTTTGCAGAAGAGCCAGGCCAAATTCACCTGACATTGTAGAAGATAAGAATCCTTTATCCGACAGTAATAGCCCTACCAGCATTCCTTAACGCACAATATGGTGGTTTGTAATTGAACTATACTTTAACGTTGCTCTGGGAGTTATCTAAAATAACGGCACTTCTTCCGCAACTTTCTATGGGTATAACAATTGCTGTCTTATACCATTCGGCCCAGAAAACAATAAATTGTTTTAACGTGTCGTAAACATTGTCTAGACAATCCCGAGATCTTTCCAACGCCTAATATGTTCTGTGTAAGTTGTGACGAAGCAGTTTATTCGTCTATTTGTACACCGCGTTATGTCTTCTCTGTGAAATCTTTCAAACTGCGAACCAATATTTGGTCTTCCTGCGTATACACAATGCACAAATATGTGAAAGTCATTTTGATACGGAGACACATGGGCATTGATCGCTAGAAAATGGCGTCAATCTGTTTACATATAAAAAAATGAAAATATAAGAACTATCTGTAGTAATATATATATATAGTCTAAAAATCGAAGCTTGGGTATTGTTTTTCTGGCAGTTTTATGCTTTAAACATTTGGTATTGTCTTCGGAAGCGACCGCATGTCTGGACTAGGGAAATCTGTTGCATCAATCTTTGCCAAATTTGGCATGCACGTCGTACGAGAAGTAACTTAAACATCATTGTTTTAAAACGAGATTACTCTTCTACCATTGACAGTTGTTGCTTTTTCTATTATTTTTTTTTCTGTTCTATAAAGATTGTTCTGTTCTGTATTTAGTTTTTATTGATTTCGTATGTACTGTACAGTAAGTCTAGTAATTTTGTTGTAGAAAAATCCAACTCTTACAAAAAAAAAAACTCGAACTGTAAATAGTATTAGGAATTGCTTCGTTAACTTAATTAATTTAAATTAAATATTATCAAGGGAATTGGATAAAAAGAAGTAAATATTTTAGCAGAATCGTCAGGAAATCCATCAAGATCACCAAGAAGGTCACGTAAACGTTAATGATTTATTATCAGAAGGTCAGCAAAACATAATAGAGGAACCAAATAAGAAAATATTCAAATTTTTAAAGAAAAAATATCAGAAAAATCCTGGATTTCGGAATGTAAGAGGGACATTTTCTATTGACTAAAACAGGGCACTCAAATTTCAGGTGCACATTGGTTATTTGATGTGCGTCCAACTCCAATTAAAGTGTTTCCGTTTTACTCTATCTTCATATAAATATTAAATATTCCGGATGCGGTAATTGCTTTATTTTTTTAGGACGTAAGAGAAAAAAAAAAACTTTTAAAAAACCAAACTAAACTACCTTCATCCGGCAGTTAGAGAGTTTCCATTTAAAAGAGACAGATAAAGAATTTTTATTTTTCCAGAGTTATTTTTCTAACTAATGCAAAAGCAACTATCCTTATTTGTTTTCGAATTTTCAAATAAGTTCATTTACATATGTAAATAAATTTCTTGGATAAATCAAATTTCTACAGGCGAAACTTTTCAAATATTCGCAAATATTATTTTCTCATTTAAATATCCCGACTGAAAAAAGAGCAAGTTTTTTTTCTCTTCCCTCCTTTAATCTCTTTCATCTAACCAGAAGGAAAGGAAATGTATGCGGAATATTTCCTTACTTTTATCTTTGTATATTTCTACTGTGAAAACCAACTTACCTTATGCATATAACCCGCAACTTGGCCAATAAGAAATCACACTAAAAAGTTTTTAATCTCCTACGATACGACAATTTCAGGCTTTTTATGGTTAATAAAACGATGAAATATAAACAAAATTAAATCGGTTTACATTTTAAAATGTCAATTAATATTTTTTTCCTCAAGTTAGAAGTATAAAACTTTCTTTAAATGCCGTGTTTCATGCGCTCTTATATGTTAAAATCGCTTGTTTGCAGTTTTGAAACACATGTCCTACTTCTCTTATAAGAGAAAGCCCTATGTACTGTACCAATGTTTTGGCACTGTACTGCTGTCAATGTAGAGCTAAACTAATAAATTTCATCCTATGCTATAAAAGTTTATTTTTAAATAGTAAGTTTCTTAGGTACCTTACGGAATAGGGTGCCATTTTGCCCGCATATACGAGCAAGCTCTTATGAGAGTGAAGATACGGTAGTTTTAAATGCTGACATTTGACTAAACATAGTGTAAAGTAGGATAGTAGTAAAGAAAATTTGATATTTACAGTTAAGAATAGTGCAAAATGTAGTATTTTATAATAAGTTTAGCGTACTAAATACGACAGTGAGTTATCTGGAGGCAAAAAGTAGTTAAAGCAACAGTTAATACCTAGTGGAAATAATAAACGTAACGGCTAATTCGTTGTTTTTCGCGAGTAAACACATAGTTAAAAATGGATCTTTCATCAAAACACAGGCAACAGTAGGTTTATTATTGACAGAATCTCGAGCTGTAATGAAATGTAAACAAATATAAAATAAATTTATAGACAAAAAAGTTATAAACAATTATAAAAGTAAACAAATAAAATTTTGTTTGCTTTGTAATCAAAAAGAAAAATGACTTTTTTCAAGAACAATTTAAGTATTATGCAGGGGTACAGAGACAGATGGTTATCCTCTATCTCCACCTGTCACAACCAATCATTCATTGGAGTTTTGGAGGTCTTGGATCAGTTACAGCCCCTTATGGGTCATTCTTGACCTTGAGCGATGACCCTCCACGAAGAACCACAGGTGCTGTACCCCCTAATTATTTTTAATTAGGAAGCCAAGTCTTCGTTCCTGTACTATTCTGGTGTGTGTGTGTGTTTTTATTTTTTTTTATTTTTAAAGTTTCGTTTATTATGAGACGAAAGAAAAAGAAAAATATAATTTAACAGCTGCTCATTTTAATTAATTTAAATCAGAATTTATAATTCTTTTTTATTTTAAAAACTCATCAAAATATCGTAAACATTTTACACATCGTATGCCTTCTATTTCTGTTTATTTTTATTACATTTCGCATCGTTAATTTGCTTTAGGAATTCGTTATTTATCAAACTAGCAACAGACAGATTTATGAGTTTAATGTAATTTTTTTTTACATTCTTTGTAAAGATTGATTGGTTCTTTTCTTCGAATTGTGTAGCTTCTTTAAATTAACTATACGTAATTAATGTTAATAGGTGTAATCCGAGAGAGGAATTCTTTGGAAAAGGCAAACGAACTTTGATTTTCGTGACTGACTTCTTCGGTTTCACGAAAAGAAAAGAAAAAAAAGAAACGAAACCGTCCATTAAACTGATCAAAGTACTACTTACTAACTCTAGAAAACGAACTGCAAACATCTCACGTACAAAGAAGTGGTCAGCCTCTCATGCGTAAGCTGTAAAGATAAGCGGAGGTAGCGCGGACTCTCACCCTCCAGGTGAGTGACTAAGACCCTCACGTGTCACGAACATGCGGCTATACAATAGGAACACACAAGAGATGGTGAAAAGGCCCACTCCATAGAGAAACGGGTAACAAGAGGCCTACAAGTAGAGCAACAATGGAATGGGTGGCACCTCTATCCACCTCCGAAACCCAAGGTGGTCTTTTCACCCTTTTTTATAATCCGAAAGGGGGATTGTGTTACACCTACCTTCTTCGTTCCCCGCAGACCAATTCCAGCTTAAAAAAAGCAGGACGGTGATGGCACAGCTGTCCCGCATGATGTCTAAACCACAAATAAAAGGAGGAGGAGTGATTAAGGATCGGGATGCATCACAATAAAGCACAGTCCAATGTATGAAGCTAAGAGCCGGCAGCTAGACGTCTGCACTCTACTGAGCCTCCACTCGCACTGCTGGCATTCGGCGCGACTCTTTCCCCTACATCTGGCGGCTGACGTCACGAGCACGTGACTTCACCTCTGCTCCGGATCCCGGCAGGAAGTGGAAATTAAGCTCGTTTTCCGGTGGTGTGTAGATAGCATCAGCTGCTTTGCCGCTCTTATCTGTGCACGGGTTGCATTGCTTTACACACTCTTCAACGGGTAGAAGATGAAAGTAAGATTAGAGCATCATTTCGTCTACGAATCTGACATTCTGAAACCAATATGCGTATGAAATATGACTGCTTCCGTTACCATTGTTTACATAGTTTTAACTTCATGGTTCGGCTGTACAACTAGAGTATCTTTCAGACCATCTGAGGTGTAGCAACTGGAGCCGTGGAGAAAGTCTTCCCCGTTGACCTCCATTCACCCTCAGGTAGATAGTCTTTCTAGGGAATCTCGCCTGGCAGGGTGAGTCGGCACAGCTGGGCTCGACTCAGGGAAGAAACGTTGCACGTGCACAAGACCCTCAGATAGCGAATGTCTCGTCTTACACGAGATTGACCCTCGGGGTTGGGAACAGGGACACGACTGTTCTTTTTCCGTTGGTTTTTTCCCTCTGTGATTGAATTGATGAAAAATTTAATTACATTTGGATTATCTATTTTTTTATTAGTTTGTCACAATTTTAATCATGATAAAACACATTTACGTCACTTGGAATTCTCTATTAACGCTTAGGGAATTTTTTTCTTATTTCTTAAGTTCTGGGACTTAATTTTATTTCGAAACTTTCCTGCCACTATTTCCTTTGTTGATCCAATAACAATTTTCGTATTTTACAGACAAAACGGATAACATCGTTTTCAGTTCTGTAATTTCATCTACACGATTCATAACTGTAAAGGGCCATTCTTCCTGATGAAATCCCCGCTATTTGTTGACTCACTGGAGCTTTCCGTCGCTGTTCTCGCTCTAAGTCAATAGAAGTATTGACACTACAGTCGGAAATGTTTGTTCTGTAACTAAAAACTAGACTAGAACCGTGAAGACACCGATCTATGTAACACCACCCCCCGCCAGAAAGAAGAAAAGTGTTTAAGCACTTCTTTCTGTGACAGCAATTACAGCATCGGTCGTATCTTCTATCTAAAACTAACAACAATAATTAAATTGGCAACGATAGTTTCCACTCTATAGACTAGGAGCAGAGAAGAAAGGGCCGCTGCACCAATTCTCTTTGATTGATAGACGAGACATTAGCTGCAACTGCTAAAGGAGAAGCAGTTGAGCAGCATCAGAACAACCGATTCACTCACAAATCGTATTTACACTAACTGCCGCCGGAGAAAGAAAGAAAAAAAACGGAGAATATTAGAAAAACAGACAAGCACCAGAGGCAGATTTATCTTGAAAACAACAATACGGGATCTTCTTACTGACATATCTCGTCCGCTTGTTTTTTAATTTATAAATTTCACCTGTGACTTCGTACGCTTAGGCGAAGGACGATTTTTTTTAGTGAAATTCGATATTTTCCGCTAGAAAACAGAAGAGAAATCGCTTTGGCGCAGATAGAAAACTCAGATTTTGAAGAGCGGCGATACCCCCTTAATCTTGTTGGTACGTGCGGCCGTTTTATAATTGCCACCAAGAGCTGAAAATGAGGAAGAGAAATCCTACGGGTTCAATCGATAAACGGAGTAGAAACAAAGCCTTTAAACTGAATGTAATTCCTTATTAAACTACCAAATTTTGAGATTTTGGTAAACATAATTTTGACACTACTTAAATTCCCATTTTTGAACGTTCAATGAATTGTCACCTGTTACAAAAGATAAAAACTATAAGTGAAGCTAAAAATATAAAGTTTAAGAATGAAACTCTGTTCAAAATCTAAAGTAGCAAGTAGTGTGTATGAATATTAAAGCATTAAATGGTGTTGAAGCACGGATTTGTCCATAAACTAAGTTGTAGCTTAGGACATTGCATTGAGTTTGTAGCTTAGGGTCTCATATTATTACGTGTATGATAATCTATTCTTATTATTTGATGCTGGGAAAGGGCCTGTTATATTTTATAACTTAAGACAACAAGGTAAGTCTAGCACTGCGTAGATATGATCACTTATAAAATGTGGTAGAACAATTCGTACTGTGATGTTCAACCAGAATCGTTCTCTCGCTCAAAATATAGTTAGTTTATATGCAGCAGGATTGAATAAATTACCATTTTATTAAAAATACCGAGAAGTAAAAGGCAGGATGTAATATTTAATCATTTTTTTATGATCTTCAAGATGCAGACAACGAAGTAAAGGGAAATGTAGTGTTATCATCACCTATCTTTTTCTATGTGCTATTTCGAGTGTGTTAGAACTTTAGCCAATTTTGGCAATATAGCTTGGCACCATTACCTTCAAACGGTAAAATAGAAAAGGAAAGTGTTACCTAGAACGGAGAGGGCGTTGTCTCGTTTAGAGAAAATCGCCCTCCTCTATAAAAAAAAGCCGAGCAGCACTTTATGGAATAGCGAACCGCCCATCTTTCTTAGCCGAAAGCAGAAAGAAAGTTTCCTGTTTTCGTAGAAACTAGAAATCTGACTTAGTTTTTTTTTTTTAACTTGGTAATGACAGAAGAGGAAAATAAGTCGTCATCTGCGTGCAGCTGAGATCTAATCGAAGTTACAGTTTGGGACAAACGCCCGAGATATTATTATCGAAAGAAGCAGAATTGAAGTGGAAATGTTTACTGATGACTTTTATGTTTATTCTCACGGACCTCCTGTGGTAAGCTTTGTAAATATTTATGAAATACAGATCACCTCAGACAGAATAGAAATGAGCCAACTAAGGAGTAGATCGTGTTACGGCATTTATCATGTTTAAGTGAGGATTAACGTAATGCATCACTTCTTTGTGGATATAGAAGGGCTCTTGTCTGACTAGCGCACTTTGCTTTCTCTAAAAGAATAAAAATTTATCTTCGTTATTCCTAATATGTTTAATAAACCCGCTTAAGCCGCTCATAAGGGGAGAATTCCTGCCATGACGAAAGAGAATTCAGAGGAGCAAATTATGATAACTATAAGAAAAAAAAAAACAAAGCTAAGGTAATTTTTATTTTTATTTAATTGAATTTTGAATATTTTTTGAATTATAAACTATTGTTAAAATCGTTTTTTAGTATCGGTTCCAGACAAAGATAAATTACACATTCTTTTAAAGAAGTGGTGTCAGACAGGTTAACGTCTGATATGAGTTTAAAAGGTTATCAGTGAGCATTGAATTTTGCAATTTAACTGATAATTTATTTTTTTACTAATTGAAAGCTGTATGAAACCCTTTCACGTAACAGTAAATTTGCATATTTTGTTATTTTCGCTTCTTTTCCTTTCAACATTCCTATACGTAGACGTCACTACAAAACTTCCAAAAATTCAAGAGGTGGGTTCGTTAAAAAAAAACTAGGCGAAGGGATCGCCGTTGGTGTCGACAACTTCCTGATATATATTTTACTCTTTATACATATAGAAAGAGCGCTGCTCGGCGGGGTTCCTCCTTCACCTGGAGGCAAAAGTTCCTACTGGGTACTGTAAACCAACATTCTGTAGCAAGCAGCAGGGGTCGACCGGTCCCTCATTATATCTGCTGTCGAAATGTTAACTGTGGGATGCCCAACTCCCTGCCCAATACCATCTTTCACCGGGAGAAGCGCAGCATCAATTTAAACTGTCTGTTTTCTTAATTCATCCGAAGATTAAATGGAACAAAGATGGAGTGGTACTTTATGACTTTTCTTTTTTTTTTTTTTTACTTACCGCCGTCGACGAGTTTATAATGCTTTTTTTTATTCCTTAATGTTCCCGATAGCTGGTGTACTCCTCTACCTGTTAGCGCGTATTTTGTTGTGAGAGATAAAGAAAACTATTTTGTTATTGATCATCGATAAATCGATGCAATCTGCAGCGACATGCCATGATTTGAAATATGTTAAAGATGAACAATGATACTTTCTTCCCTATATCGGGAATTTCTCCCAATCTGAGGATAAGCAAAACTGATTTTTGGAGAAAACTTTAGAGGATTAGGGAATTTTCAAGAAGCGCTCCGATACAGATATATTTCATGGTTTAACTCCAACTGACAAGTGGAAGATTGCAGAACAAACTGGATAAATTATGGTGATAACAAGTTTGAAAAACTGGATTTTTTCATTTAAAAAACAAGATAATTTATTATTTTTTTATGTTAATATTGACCTAGAGTCGATTTACTAAAGGAATCGTCAAACCGTGCCCGATAATATTTTATGGAACCAAATCGCCCCGAAAACAAACTTACCAAACAAGACTTTTCTTTTATTTATTTGGATGGACCAAAGATTTGTCCATCTTTTGTAACACATTTAAGAGATAAGGAATTATCAAAATTGTGAAAAAAGTTTGATAGGAACCACTATTCTTTGTTTAATTATCGACTCCATGTCTAAGAAGTTGTAAGGTTTTTTTATGAAGATAAACTACTGGAGCGAGAAAGACCTAAAGAGTGCATCACCATTAGTCATAGCATCATCTATTCCACAGATTTATGTCTTAGAAAAGAGGGAAATGTTTGGATATAAGCCAAATTTGTCTTCGAGTCACGTGACGCTCCAACGGATCGAATTTTCGAATTGGTTTCAAAAGCGGCGGTTGTGTTTCGCTTGTCATCAATGAAATATATCCAGAGTTGATGAACCTTGTTGGAAAAGTGATAAGGGGGTTTTCGGCGGTTTTCTCCTAAGATCCTTTCCAACGACAATATTTGGCATTTAGATAAATCGCCGTCAATTGATGCGTTTGGAACGGAGCCATCTCTTGCATAAACAGTCTTTCATAACTTCTTTATATAGAAGAGCAGCAGAGAAAATTGAGTTATAGGATTATTAAAGATATTTTCTAATGGGGAATTCCAAAGGGTAATTGCAGTAGACTACGCAAAATTTACTTTACAAGTAGGCTACCAAACTATATTTATACATTCTCAAAGAAGCCAAAAAAAGAGGAAGATTTATTGCGTTAGTAAACGGTGCATAAAGTCGAAATGTGTTTAATTAAGAAGGACGAGTACTGCTCCCGTTACGACCCTCTTTCCTTTCTCATTCTCACGCAGTTCCGTTGTCTTAGCACAGGATTGGGTTAATAGACTGTCACCATTTACGAGTGAGTACTGGCATGGGTCAGGTTTCAAGTGGACCGAGGCACTGCGGCCTAATATATTAGTTTTATGTGTTTCTCCATCGATCAGAATGGCTCCTAAGTAAAATTTTAGAGCCGAACGGGGGCAGATTGGGGAAAGGAAAAATAAAAAAAAAATGTTCTATTTTCTAAATCGCGATGCTTCG